TGAAAGGCTGGGATTGCCAGATTTAGCAAATAAAAATATAGAACACTCAGTTAAATTTGAATTTCACATAAACAACAGATGCGGTAATTTTTTTTTTAGTATAAGTATGATCCATGAAAAATTTCTATTTCATCTGGCAACTCTAACAAGGTCAATAAACTTTACCAAGTCACAAATATTGGGCAATGAAGGGTCAGAGTGCGGGGGGTAGAGTGTTTGGTCCTTTCTTCCTCTGCTAGAGTGGCCTACCCAGTTGTTTACCAGCAGGTTAGCTCAAGGGGCTCAAGCGCTTGCTAACTAGCTACATGGTTAATTGATTGGCTCAACAAACATGTCTTCAGCATTGACTGCATCCAGGCAGGAGCTAGATGTTGGGAATACAGCTGAAAACATGATACACAGGTCCTTGCCCTCTTCAGGTCTAGCCAAGGTGGAGAAAGGGAGGTTAATAAGGTAATGGTCTTTGTCTATGGGAACAGTGGTGTGCTGGTGAGGAAGCCTGGATTTGTAGCTTTTGTAGACTTTGGAGTCATAAATACACTTCCTATGGCCAATTTCAAACTACCAATGTGACACCATTGAACTGGGTTGGGAGAGGTGTACACAATCTGCTCTCTGGGCAGTATGGACTGGCTCCAGCATTCCACTGCGTGGGGGAGCACTTAGAAAGGACACTTCCTCCATCTCTAGTATGGGGAAGGGGCTTAAGCATTATTTCCTTAAATGGAGAAGGAATCAAATGCTAAGAGGTATAAAAGACATTTGTTATATTTATAATATTGGATGCTTCATAAATATTTTTACTATGGTATATAAATAGAGGAGAGCCTAATAAACATAGTTGTAAAATTATGATGATTTATCTACAGATCAGAGCTCAGAGCTTCCCTTTTGCATTTGACCTTCTACATGGAGACACTTGAAGACCTCTTCTGCATTGCTCCCTCACCTGCACCCCAGCTCATTAACCGTCATCATTCATTCATTCATTCATTCCACAAACGCTGACAGAGCCCTTGGTTTCTGCCACACACTGTACTAGGGCTTGAGTCCCTGTCATCATGGAGCACTCGATTCACAGAAGGAACACTTTCCTCTCCGCAGTTCTTTCAAGGCAGGTTTACTGCACTCTCTCTCCTTTCACTTGCTCAGCTCACTCCCGTGTTTTCATGCTGACTTTCTTTCTGGGAATATTTCCCCCAAGAAAGCTTGCCACAACCCCTTTCCAATCGTCTTCTCTTGAGATTTCTCCTGCATCACAGAGTGGCAAGTGTTCTTTTCTATCTGAATCAGAACTCTCCGGACTTTTCTGTATCTTTTCCCATTGTGCAAGCTATCACTCTAACAAGTATTTTTTGAATGCCTATGTACTAATCAATGTGTAAGGTATGGGGGAGCCTCTACTTACCACTTCACAGTTTTCATTAATCATTTTATCAAATTATGTATTCACACAATTTGTGTTCAGGCCCTTTTAAAACTTAAATTACTTAAGAAATACACAACTTGCCCTGGCTGGCATGACTCAGTTGGGTGTCATCCTGTGAACTGAAAGGTTGCAGGGTTGATTCTGGGTTTTTGGGCTGGATTCCCGATAGGGAACATGCAGAAGGCAGCCTATCAATGTTTTTCTCCCTCTCCCTTCCTCTCTCTCTACAATAAATAAATAAATAAATAAATAAATAAATAAATAAAAAATAAAAGTCTTAAAAAGAAAAGAAATACAAGATTCATTATACAAAAATATTTAAAGCATAAAGGAGGAAAGAATAATGAGTTGATCTGACAACTCACAAATAGCCATTATTAAGTTTTTGGGTTCACTCATGTAGCCATTTGTTATGTATACTTACAAATTGGTATCATACCCATTTTTTTTTCATTTACTATTATGTGAAAATGTTATCTTTTTCAGCGTTCTTTGAAGACATGATTTTAAATGACGGCATGACATTTCATTTTCAGGCTAAGCCACGCATGATTTATTTAATTAGTTCCCTGTTGCTGGCAGTAGCCTTTTTATAAGTCAGTTAGTGTTGACTATCTTTATCTTAAGCTACAAGAAAGCCAGAATTGATCATTTAATTGTCCTTCCTCAGCAGCATTCATAACAAAAATATGCTATTAATTAGCATAACTAATTAATGAATTGCTGTACTTTTATTATATAAAATAATATAATAATCCTTTTATTATATAGGTTATATATATATAGGTTATATTATATAATCCTTTTATTATAAGGATAAGTAAGCCCCCCGGAGGCTTACTTTTTTGCTAAAGTAAGTGGATTAAGTATATGCTGTGATCCTCCAGTTACCATTTAAAATAAAAGGAGTCAGTCTGCATAAAAAGTAACCCAGATTTGTATAGGCAGCCAGAAGCTCTGAGAGAGTTGGGAGGAAGATCACCTACCATCTGTCTTTCGTGAGAGGAGCTGAGCTTGGTTTTAGATCTTGGGATTGTTAGGAGTTTTAGGGAACACCTAAAACTTCTTTACTTCTTTTTTGAGCCAAGGATTGTTACCTGCTGGGGCTAACACCCAGATCTCTTGACTTCCTTCCTGTCTGTGCTCTTTTCACCGCAATCAGCTGACTAAGCCAAGTCTTAAAATACAGAAAGAGTATATTTACATACATTTACCTACATGTTGTTATAGAAACTGTTGCCCCTTCTAATGCATGTACTTGGGTAAAAAAAAAAAATTTTTTTTTTTTTGGTAAGGTTCTAGGGATGTATTCAAGAGAAAGCAAGCAATAGTCAAAAAAGTGGAAACAACACAAATGTCCATCAACAGGTGAATGGATCAGTAAGGTGTGGTATATTCACACGATGGAATACTCCGCAATAGAAGGAAATGAATTATTGATAAATACAGCAATGCAGATGAATCTCAACATAACTTTGTTGAGTAAAATAAGCCACACAAGAGAGTATAAACTGTGTGAGTCCACTTATCTAAAATTCTGGAAAATGCAAACTAATCTAAGTGACAGGAAGCAGGTCTGTGGTTACTTGGGAAGGGAGTGGAGTGGAAGGGGATCCTCAAGAGTATAGGGCCCTAGCTGGTTTGGCTCAGTGGATACAGCATCCGCCTGGGGGCTCAAGGGTCCCAGGTTCCATTCTGGTCAAGGGCACATTCCTGGGTTGTGGGCTCTATCCCCAGTGGGAGGCGTGCAGGAGGCAGCCGATCAATGATTCTCTCTCTCATTTATGTTTCCCTCTCTCTCCCTCTTTCTCTGAATTCAATAAAAATATATTTTTAAAATATGGTATAGGAAACTTTGGAGGCTGACGGATACACTCATTATCTTGATTGTAGAAATAGTTTCAGGAGTGTGTACACGTCAAAACTTACCAAACTGTACACTTTAAATTTGTGCAGTTTGTGTATGTCAATTAAATCTCCCGAAAGTTTAATTTGTGAGATCTACCTATTAAGTTTGAAAAACAGAACAAGACTAGAAACTCGCTGAAGAATCTGAAGCCTAAGAAAACTAAAATTACTTCTGCAGATAGCTGACAACCGAGGTTCTATTCTAGTATGATAGTTTATCTGAACAGAACATTACTGTGAGAAATGCAAAGTCATAAAAATAAAAAATGGCACTTTTGTGTCCCCCCCCCCTCCGGCCCCCAGTAATCTTGCCATTTCCTCATGCCTGTACAGTTGCTTTATAGCATAATCTTTTTGTTCTATTCAAGTTGGTTTTTTGAAGAGAGCAATAACCTTGTTGTATTTTTCCTGAACGATTAGACTGCTCTTTTATGTACAAGATGCCCAGTCTCTGGTGTGTCTTGTACGTACGTGGGTGTGCAGAAAGCTACACTGTATAAATTGAAGCAAATGCTGTTATTTTGCCTTGGGGGTTTGTAGTCGGGACTCAGCAGCGGCACTGGAAACAAACTGGAACTTTCTAGAAACAATGCCCTTTTCTACAAGATGCACAGTGGATAGCTTTCCTTAAATATGTGAATTCAGTAATCAAATTTGTCTATTTAGATTTTCCACTTACTGTTTTAAAATAAAGAAGTGCTACACCACACATACGGTGCACAACACCGGAAAAGATCCCATGTCAGAAAACAAAGTTTTATTTTTATTTCCACACTCCACCCTCAACTTATTTTCTCAGCATTTTCCGGTAAGGACTCCCATTCTGCAGACGGGGAGACGCACATTTTGTTCGTGTTTTTTTTTTTTTGCTCAGGACAGATGGGTTGGAAAGAAGCAACTCTCAACTTTTCAGTTCCATTTTGAGCAAGGATCACACGGACCTCCTGACAACCGACAGCCCGGCGAGAGCGGCGGCGGTTCTCCCCGGGCGGGCCGGGATCCAGGCGCGCGGCCGCGGCGGAGGGGGAGTCAGGTGGCAGCGGGAGCCGGGTCGGCGCGGCGGGCGGGCGGGCGGGGAGCGTGCGGGGCGCGCCTCCCTCCGGCCGGCGCGGGGAGGTGGCCCGGCGCCCGCCCGGGAGTCCGCCGGCCGGGGGCTCCCGCGCCGAGCCGCGATCCGCGGGTGCGCCAGGGGCGCCCGCATCTCCTCCCTCGCGCGCTCCCTCCCTCCCCACGCCCGCCCCTACCCCCTGGCAGGTCCCTCCCCCACGCCTGCTCCCGCGGCCGCCGCCGCCGCCGCTACCGGAGGCGCAGGAGCCTCGCGATAGTGTTTGCACAGGCGGCGCGTGACGCCGCCGCCGCCTGTAACTGATGCAGAGGTTACCCCGCCGCCTCAGCCGCCACCCACCGCCCGCCGCCGCCACCGCCACCGCCACCCGGGCGACGCCGGGGGCCGACGCACTGCAGAGGTGCCGGCAGGTTCCGCCCGCGGAAGTCTCCTCGCCCGGCGCAGCCCGCGCTCCGACGCCGGCCCCGGCGGACGCCCCCTCGACGCCTCCGCGGCCGCGCTCCTTCCCTCCGCCTCTAAGCCGGCGCGCCCGCCAGCTCCCTCGCTTCTCCCCCCTTCCCTCCTCCCCGTCCCCTCTCCTCCCCTCACCTCTTCCCTCGCCACCTCCCCCCTCCTCGGCTTCCTTCCCCCATCCCCTCGCCTCTCCCCTCCCTGCCCTCGCGCTCTCGCTCGCCCTCCGCGCGGCCCCCGCCATGACGGAGGCGGGTGCCGGTGCCGTTGCCGCCGCTGCCGTCGCAGGGGGGGAGCCGGGTTCCCAGAAAGTAGCTTGATGAGTGTCCAAAGTAGCAGTGGAAGTTTGGAGGGGCCGCCATCTTGGTCCCAGCTCTCCACGTCTCCAACCCCGGGCTCGGCGGCGGCGGCCAGGTCCCTGCTGAATCACACGCCGCCATCCGGGAGGCCCAGGGAAGGTAAGTGCCGTCGCGCCCGCGCCCGCTCGAGGGCCTCCCCTCCCGCGCCGGGGCCCCCGCGACCCCGGGGTGGGGGATGGTGGCGAGGTGGCCGCGAGGCCGCCGGGCTCCGGGGAGGTGGTGCGCTGGCGGCGGGTGGCGAAGGGGACGGGCGAGGGGCTGTGCGCCGGCTGGAGGGCGCGGGGCGCGGCGCGGCGCACACACTCGCCTGGGGGTCCTCGGAGCCGGTCCTCCGGGCTGGGAAGCCTCCCCCCGGACGCGAGCCCCTTTCTGCCCCATTTGCTAGGACACTCCGCACTCTTAACCTCCTGGCCTCCTGTCTCTGGTGGGTTTTCCCTCCCGTTGAAGCTTTCATCCCGAGCCCCCTCCCCTTCCCTCGCGCACTCCTCCCCGAGAGGCGGTCCTCGCTCCGAGCGCGGCGGCTCAGGACCCGGAGGGTGGCCCTAGCCGGCAGGGTCTTTGCCCTGGCAGGAGCGCCGCCGAAATTATCAAAGCCGACTTTGATCCCTTGCCTGGCTCCCAGGAGCCATTGAAAGGAGAGACTTGGAGGGGCGGGGGGGGGCGGGCTTTTAACGCCACCCCTTCCGAGGGTTGCAACTTTCCTTCGCCATCACCTCCCCGGGTTTGCACGTTATCTCGTCGCTGCAAGGAGGCTGCTGTTCTTCTCCGACAGGGTCGTGGGTTTTGTGGGAAAGAGCTGCGTAAAGGTGCCTGCAACGCGCACCCAATCGGTGGCAATTGTTTTCTAAGTTTTTGGCTTCTTGCATGCAAGTGTGCCGCCGCCAGATGTAGCAGTTACCCAGCTAGGAAGACACCGGAGTGCTTTCGGCTGAAATTCCAACTTGCTGCATTTAACTTTCAGTATACCACAGAGAATGAGATGTGGGAGAGCGCGCATTTATGGGGGAAGAATCAATGTGCATGGAGTCGCGTTTAACGCTCTTTTGTCTGGAAAACGTTGAGCGGCATTCGTCAGCAACTGGGAAATAGGTTGTTCATTCCCAGTTGTGTCACACAAGGAGATTGTAGCCACCTTTAAAACACACACACACAAAAGCAACCGTCTGGCAGTCCAGGAGTCTAGAGAATCATTTCAAGACACCAGGAGCTTTGATTTATGTAGGAATCGGTGGGGTGGATTTATTTAGAAAATATTTTCTGTTTTTACTAAAAGCCTTGACAATTGTTAATCAAGCGTTTTGTGCCCTGAATCCACTGGTTCCGGCAGAGCATTCTTTGTCATTTTGTTCCTGCGAGCATGTGTGAAAGTGACAATAGGCTCAAAGATTGGCATGAATTTGCTCTAGAAAATGCATGGTAAGGTTTGATTTATGGCATCCATTAAACAACGCTGAATACATTGACAGACATTTTCCTCTTTCCATCTCACCCCCACCACTGAGTTCTGATTATTAGAAGATAAAATGTATTGACTAACTCAAATTCAGTGCATATTTTTTTTTTTTTTGCATTTGAAAATTTGTAAATGAATGTTTTAAAATCTATTTTGTAAATAGAGCAGCTGGCTCAGCTTTTACTTTTGTCTGTAGTTTCATTAAGATGCTTACTGATAGTGTTACGAATGATAGTTTAATGATTGGGAAAGTCCTTTTTTTAAGGCTTTACCTTTTTTCATGTGGTCATCCATTTCTCAAATATTTATTGAGTCATTTTTGTAAGCTAGCTGCTGTATTAGATATTACTTAGGATATAGTGTTGAATTGTTTATCTGTAACACCTGTTACAGTATTAGTAATTTGGGGGCTGCAAAATCGAGGTTGTGGGTTTCTGAGGTTGCTTCAACTTTAGTTTCAAAAACTTCTCTATTATTTTGCACTTTTCCTGATGTTTGAAAATTTTGAGGGTTGGAATAATTTAGTTTGAACTTCCAAATAACCAGAATTTTCCCAGCAGTTTAGATTATCAGATTTTTATGTAACTTAAACTAGTGAGTTTCTCTATAATTAATGAAATAACAGGACATGTTTTTGTGAAAGTTATACTTCACCTCAAGTACCTGTATGGTCACAGTGGTATATTTCTTTCTGACCAACTGACATGTAAGTTAAAACTATGTTATATTATCATCTTGAAGCTAAAGTCTGAGCTTTCACTTAATGCTAACAGGAATAGCACATATTAAGACGCAGGTATCAAGATGGAGATGTTTTCTATTGAGTGAGATTTCAGTTTTTAACAAATGTTTAGCATCTTTCCCAGGTATACATTTAGTATGTTGTTTACATTAATGTTAATTGAGAGAACTTTTGACTTTTGGTGACTACTAGTAAAAATTGTTACTATAAATGGTACTTGAGTGTATGTATGAGGAGAGAACAAACCTTATTTCTTGAAAAACAGCCAATTTAATGTATAATAGGAAATTTAAAAAACTTAAAAGAGATGCACACATGAATATTAACACATATAAAGGTTATTTATATGTGTTGAACTTTTAAGCAAACTTAACTTTGAAAATGGGCTATTTTTAGAGATGTGCCATAAGTAACTGTAAAAATTATTTTGAAGTTTTGATATATTTGAAACCAAAAGATTATAAGCTGATTATTTTTAGTACTCTGTAAGACTTAGGAATTTATTAGAATTTAGAAATTTGTGTAATATAGTGTAGATTTTTTTTCCTTGGGAGTCCCAAAGTCCCAAGACTTTTTCTTTATCAATCTTGAAGTTCTGTAGTTACTGATTTCATGTTGGATCTTTTAAACCTGTGATCTCTGTTCTGTTTCATCTTTTCATAATTGTGTGATTAAGGAGCTGGGCAGTTAATAAATTAAGTACATTTTCAAATAAAGGTCAGTTTTACTTTGTTGAAGTCTCAAAACTTAGTGTCACATTGGCTAGATGAGCAGTTGGTTTTTGTTTTTGTTTGCATATCAGTACATGGGTACTTTTGAATGGGTTATTGCTAAGAGTCAATAATTATACAAAGATTTATATTTTTTTGTTCCAGCTTACCAGATATGAATAGATTGCTTTATTTTTATGTAAGTAGTGAAAATAGTTTGGTTAAAAAGATAATATCACAGAATAATTAAACTGTTGCTTTCTGTTTCCATATTTACAGACTGCATCCCTTAAATAGGAGAATTAAAGTATTTGACTCCAGATGACAGTAATATCTGTAGGGAGATGTTAAAAATAAAAGTGTACCAGATGGCTCTTTAATTTCTTGAAGTCACTAGCTGAAAGATGATAGGGTTGGGTGTTTAAGGATTCTAGCTCATGGATATGCTGTAGGTAGGTATTTTTCTTTTTGACCAACTAGCATGCAAGTTAAACTGGTGTTAATCCTCTCTAGGGCTTTATATTTATCCTGAAGTTGTAGTCTTACATTTCACTAATATTAACAAGAATTGCATATACGTATGAATTCCCAGGTATCAAGATGGATACAGTTTCAGAGACACATTTCCATATTAGAGAGAGAAACCCAGGATAGTTAGAGGTCTGGGAGTCTGCCCTTGAGAAGTAGGCTTGCTTTAGCCTATTTGGTCTCAGCACTTCTTTACTCTCAAAAATTATTGAGGACTCCAAAGAGATTTTGTTTATATGGGTTGTGTCTATTGATATTTACTATGTTAGAAATGAAATCACTTACAAAATATTTATTAATTTATATAAAAATAACGTTAATAATTTTTTAACCTTAGAACAACTATTCTAAAACAAAAACTTTAGTGAAACTAGTGGCATCCTTATATAATAAAAGCGTAATATGCAAATTGTCCTCAACCAGGAGGTCGTCCAGAGTTTGACCAGGGGGCGGGGCCTGCCAGGGGAAGGCAGGGGGGCCCCAGCTGACAGTGGCAGCTGCTAGGGACCCTACCAGTACATGAATTTCATGCATCGGCCTCTAGTTGTTTTATATTTTTACAAATCAATTTAATTTCTGGCTTACTAGAAGATAGCTGGATTTTGCTTCTGTTTTCAAGTCTGTTGTGATTGTTTCAAGCTAATCCAGTTTCACGTAGATATGTAGTTGGAAAAAGTAGGTATTTTAATAGCTTTTTGAGAAGTTGTATATATTCATTTTTAATATTATACCAAAATTTGACAAGTGGCAATGGTTACATTGCATTCCAGAAGTGTCTATAGGGCCCACAAGAAAACTGTGAACTATACAGTTAGCTTAAAGAAGAGTCTACTTAAAGGGTGGGAAATAAGCTAGTTTTCATTCAGATATTTCAAGCACAAATAGAAAAGGGAGTACATTTATTCTCTTATTATTGTATTTTTAAAAATACATAAATTTCAGAGGAAGTGAGAGCGCATGTGTGAGAGAGAGAAACATCAATGATGAGAGAGAATCATTGATAGGCTGCCTCCTGCATGCCCCCGACTGGGGATTGAGCCCACAACCCATGCATATGCCCTGACTGGGAATTGAACCATTGACCTCCTGGTTCATAGGTCAGTGCTTAACCACAGAGCCATGCCATCTAGGCTATTCTGTTATATTAGAAGATAGACCAGCAGATGGAGGTTCAAAAGGCATATATTGAATTCAGTATAATTTTTTGACAAGAATGTAAGCCTGTATAGCAGCTAGACTTATACAACAGTGGAAAGAACTGCCTCTTGAAGTATTTAGCTGTAAGAATTTACAGCAGTTTACAGGGACATTTTAGGGGGAGGCAGAGATAAATTCTGTAGATTCTTATTTTGGGTGCTATTGAATTAAGTTACTTAGGGTCCCATTCAATTAAAAAATGTAAGCATTCTGTGATTCCTTGAAAATCCCTAAATATAGTTAAACTGTACTTATATATATCCATGAATGTTTTTGAATATTCTCCGAAGTCAGTAGTATGAAGCTTTGTTGACTTTATTACTATTTTGCATTTTTATTGTGCTTTCCTCTGAGATTTTTCCTGTATTTTCTGGAACCAACACTATCAGTCTTCCTGAAATCTCTCTGAGTTCCCTGTGAAATATAATAAGCTTTGAAGACATTTTAGGGAATCAGATACTGCTTATGA